ATAGAAAGTGGATGAATAGAGAAGACTTAATGCTATGCAAAGTCAGCCAGACTCTGAAAAACAGATTTTGAATGTGGCCACTCAATATATACCGAATGTCTGCTCTACATAGCAGAAATGGAATGATTCGAAGGTATAATAGCAGGGAGGGTAACTGTAGATACTAGAGATAGTGAGGATAGATAGGATAGGGGGTGGGTAATGGGAGGAGGAAAACAGGGAAACAGGGAAACAAACAAACAATATGCTTAATTGACACAAAAATGGCAAGTGATTTGCTGAAGATAATGTACATGCTAATATCTTTGTCTTGATTGAGATGCACTGTATTTGTGCTTGGAAAAGCCATTTCGTACACTGTAAAGATGTATAGTGATTAAATGTAAATGATATATATAAATATATATACATATACACATATAAAAGAGAAATTAAAAGGTAACATTAAAAAACAGAAGTTTTCAAAGTGTCTTCCTTATATGGAGATTTGAACCAAAAACCATGCATATTTGACATGTTAGCTTTTTCTCTTGGTTTTCCTTATTTCATTTTGACATTTCCAGTTTTCTCTCCTGTTGGTATACTACTGATAAGCATGTCCAAAATGATAATTTAATTAACTTGAGCTGCAAAGGCTAATTTATAGGCGAATTATACCCAATAGAATCTCACATGAATATGATGGCCTTCCCAATAGCTCCTGATATTAGGTGGGATCAGTTTTATTGGTGGAGATGACCCATGTGTTTGGGAAATACAGCATAACTCAGTCACATGAACATACGTCGACATTCTTTAGATCATAAGTTACTTTTGATTTTACTTGAAATTTTCAGACACCACACTTACAATGTCTCCTGGTGGTCCTCTGGGTCCCATGGGGCCTGTAGGTCCTTGCTGACCCTAAAATAGAAGATATGTGCTTTACATTTGATTTAAAAAGTAGGAAAAGGAATTAAGGAGAAAAATAGAGAGGCAAGACATTTATGGGACACAGAAATGGATTATCTGTTGATGAGAACATGTATATTATCTTCAGCTGAACTGGTGTGAAGTGTATTCATATTGAGTAAATTCACCTTACAATCTGTAGTGATGTATAGTGATTGAATATATAAAATAAATTAAAATAACAATAAAAAATAAAAAAGTAAGGAGACTGTACCATAAAACAGTGTCATTTTTAAATGTGAAAAGATAGACTTCCCATCATCCCACCTTCTCTGGTGGGATGATAAATGACGATTTCATAATGATAAAATGTGCCTTGGGCTTTAAACATAGTTTCTAAATGTTTTCATTTAGTAGTTCTGTTTTTACCAACAGGCTTGACTTGGTAACTTGCCTTCCTTACTGACACAGAACACACCATATTAATCTCTCTTGCACGCCTCCCCTCCCCCAAAGCTGCTCTTTCTTGGGATACATCTCTGGAATCCCACTTGAGAGACTGAAGCATCTCAGGGCTGTATAATTCTGGTTTAGAAACTGAATTCTGAACTTTATTCCTTTTCAGAATACAGCTCAGGGTCTTAGATTAGTTCGGACTGTTTACTCTTAAGAGTTCATAGGGATGCTATAGTGAATATGCTCTGAAATAGAGTTTAAAGAGCCGACTGTGAACCATGAAGCAAGATGTGTGTAATGCATGTAGCAATTGGGGGGGAATCACTATGGAAACGGGACAGCATCGCTAAGGATATCTGTGAAGAAAATGAGTGGCACATCAAAGCACCTTGTTTCACACAGAATGACTAAACTTCTCAAATTATTTCCATATATATATATATATATATATATTTAATATACCTTTAGTCCTGGGCTTCCTATTAAACCAGGGGGACCAGGATCTCCAGGTTCACCCTAAGTACATGGGTGGAAAAGAAAGTTAAGTGTTACTTAATTTCTACAATCTCATTAAGGTCTGAGACATAATGAAAGAATGCCAGGGGATTACCTTTATTCCCTGGGATCCTATTATTCCAGGTTCTCCCTGTAATTAAAATAATTACCATATGGTAATGATTAAATTCATATGGAAATGGACATCTCTGATGCTTTAATTGAATCTCCACTGATTAACACATAACAAACGGGAAATTACGGAAGGATTATGATGAAATCAAGAAGGGTCCATTCTAAAGCATGATTCAAAATGCTTTTGGCTAATAAACAATAATCATTTCTTGTTTTCTTTCTTCTTTATAATAGTCTTTTCCCCTAATGTCACTTCTGATATCATGTTACATTAGCAATTGGTGCATTCTCTTAGCTGACCTTGTTACAATTATCCACAACTAATCTCACAGCCCAGAGAATTAAAACTTCAGATGAGGGTTAAGGATGGAGGAGAGTAGAATTTAAGGTGATATGTGATAGGTAATTTAACCATCAGGAATATGTACTTAATGGAAACCAAAAACTAAGGTCATAAAAGAGGAAAATATTAGCTGCAATGAATTTGCCTTTCTTATTGTCCAAGACTTATTGATCTGTTTGATAAACGGAATCTGTGTCATTAGCAGAATTTCTGGAAAAAAAAAGTATCTTGTATTTTGATTTTGTATTTTAGATATCCTAAATGCATGTCATTATAACATTCACAACCATTGCTGTTTGTAAAGGGTTAAAGAAAATATACACAACCTCAACCAAATGTGAAGTATCATCACATGATGACTCTTAGCAAGGTTGAAAATTTCTCACTTGTCATAGTAAAAGAACCAACAATCACAGAACAAAAAAAGTGAAATACTCAGGGAGCTTACTTTATCAAATCTATTAGACTCCAACGTAAACATACTAGAAATCAGAGAGAAGGAAATCAATGAAGTAGAAAACCCAGGATAGTGATAAAACATCTACTTACTCTATCTCCCTTTTCACCTTTTGTAAAAGAGTCCCCCTAAGAAAATGGGTAGAAAACAGAATCAATGAGAAACACTTTTAGAAACAATCTCTCCAAAGCTGGGTATAGATAAACCCTGCAAGCCAAACTCAGAACTCCACTGCAAACGAGCCTCTAAAATGATCCAGAATATCATACAGTCTGCCTATGCAGCTTGAAGGGAGCATGTAGGAATGAATTCCCAAATGAACAATGAGTTAATCATTCCAATACTACTTAGAAACTCTTGAGTGGTTGACAAATTGGAATGGTGTCCCAGGCCAAAGCTTCCTGATGCCTGGTTCCTTTACAAGTGGCATACACACACATACACACACACACACACACACACACACACCCCAATCAGAGGCAGATCAATGTGGCTGCAACTAAGTGTTAAATGGAAAGACATTCATGTGAATTGTTCCAATTGGTTAATTGTGTTCTTAAGCATAAAAAAAAAAATAATTGTTTTGTAACACTTTCCTAACTCAGAGTTTTACTATAATGAAAATAACTTGAAGGGGTTAATTATCGGGTACAGTTCATATGTGTTATTCTTGGGTTTAGATATGAAGATCCTGATGAGAGAATGAGCTTTGAAGGAATACCTCTTATTAACTAACACTCTTCCCAACATTACTGTGTGCCATTCCCACCTCCCAGCCTGAATGTGTGTGCCTGCACATACCCAAAGGCATTTGCACACTGGCTTTCTCTTACTAGCTTCTGTTTGCAAAGTTATATGTCCATAATTTTATTTAATCTTCATAGCAATGCTGTGTGAAAGGTTCTGTCCCATTTCAAGGAGGAGAAAAGAGACTCAGGAACTCTGAGTTGCCATAACCCCTTTTAGTTCCCTAAAATAGCATTCACTCTATATTTCCTTGTTCATCTTGGTTATAACCTCTGTGAGTGGATGGATATAATGTATCTTAACTATCATAGCATTTCTGGCATCATAAATACATACATATCACATATATATACATATATATGTATACCAACAATACACATGGTTCATACTCAAAGTTTATTAAATTAGATAAATTTAAATCATGCAGCTATAATAGTAATAGCTAACATATTTTGAATTTTTATAAAGTATCAAACGCTATTCTAATCACTTCATATATTTTAACATAGTTAATCCTCATGTGTCAATGAGGTAAGTGCTATTACCATACTCATTTACAGATGAGGAAACTGAGGCACAAATAAATTTCCAAAAGGTTACATAGCCAGTAAGAAGAAATAGTTCAGGATTTAAACTCAGGCAGCCTGACTTCAATTCCACACTATCCTTGTTCAATATATCTGACTGAATTTATAAATTTATTTTATTTATTACTTGGACTGAATTATTTTATTATTTGGACTAAATTAATTGCAATAAGGTAGAAACCATACATTAAAAAACAAAAAAATACTTCTGTATATGAAAGTGAAGAAAAAGTGTGAGAAGCAGTATGGTAGATATTACTACTCTCAAAAGTACTTTTATGGACTGCTATTCTCTTGAATAAATCATCCATAACTGGTTATAAATGATCAGTGGTTACTAAATGAGCCCCTGTATTTTCTACCTCATGTTCTATGAGTTAGGGACTATGGGTTCACCTTCTTCTCTCTCCCATTTCCCGGATCCCTTGCAGTTACTTGGGGCTGTTAAGCAGAAGTGACAAGTGGTACTTACAAGCTGAGGCAGTGAGAAGCCCAATCGTAATCCTCTGGTCCTATTTCAGTAGTGACCAGGAAGGGCATGTGTAATGTAAGGTGTACACACATGATGGTAATCAGCCTGATAACTCAGTGTGGTATTTCAGTAGTGACCAGGAAGGTCATGTGTAATGTAAGGTGCACACACATGATGGTAATCAGCCTGATAACTCAGTGTGGTATGGGGCAGAACACCAACCCTTCCCAGCCGAACCCCCTGGGCAGGCAACATGAGCAATCGACAGTCTTTCTTGGGCTAAGTCATAATCATTTTGTGTTCATTTGTAACTGAGCACACTAGCTAATACAACTAATAGCTATCCAACATGGTTAGTTTTTTAATTATTAGTTTATTTCTATACATTAGATCAGGGTTTTATTTATATTGTTGCTTTCAGTCTTCACCTTTAGAAAATCTAATTTTTTTAAATAATTATTTTATTTAACTTTATTTATTCATTTATTTTCAATTAATTTATTTTTAATTTAACCAGAGAGGATCAGAGAGGTGGGGGTGGGGGTGAGAAAGCAAGCCACCAGACCTGGGACTTGAATCGTGGTCAGGAATCCAGCATCCTTAACCACCACACCACCTGCTGGCCCTCCAAAATCTATCTAATTTTTAAGATGGGAGATAATAATAATTAAATATGAACAATAGGCCACTTTGCTTATATCACTGCTGATTTCTGTTCATATCATACTGCTCATGTCATTGCCTGTTCTGAGCAGCTGTCAAGCTTGAAAGCCACACTGACTAAAGTAATCTGTTGTTAAAATAAGAGCAGCAAAGACCAGGAGCCTGGCTGTCTAGAAGTCAGCAGGTGGTGTGGTAGTTAAGGCACTGGGGTCCCACATGACCTACTGGAGGCTCCCACATGGGTCAAGTCTCAGATTTGGCAGCTTTAAAATGATGCCAGGCACATGTGGGTTTGTGCGCAAAAATCCCAAGAAAAGAATGTAGGAGAAGGAATTGTAGTGTGCCATTCCCCTGGGGGTAATTTCTCACTGTCGCTCTAGGTCTCTCTCCAGCGAGCACACATGCCCTCTGGCAAAAACTTTAAAAAAGAGAGAGAGAGAGAGACTTGATATCGTCTGGTCTTAGCTCCAATGAGCACTCTTTGGGGGCAGGCCATTTAACTTTTAGAGCTTTCCTTTTTTTCTTTTTTTTCTTGTATAAAATCACAGAGTCGAGGGCCAGGTGATACAGCAATAATGCAACTAGATCCGCGTGGAAAAGGCCCTGGGTTAGCTTCCCGGGCCTGCAGCGAGCATGTGGTGTGCTCACATGCCCATGATCTCGGCCAGCTATTACTGCGGATGAACTGTATGGAAGACCCTTTGGGGTGCTGTCTCTTGCTCTTTTCTCTCTTCCTCTTATGAAATAAATAACATAAAACACACTTAAAAAAATCACAGGGCTCAACTAGGTGATCTGTTGAGCATATTCTAGCTCTAATATGTTGCACGTCTAGTCATAGTTCCAAATGCCCAGTAGTGGGGAATCAAGAGCCACTTTAAAGTTACAGTTCAGGATTCAACTTTGGATGAAGACTACTCTTCCGGTTGGCTCTTCTTGTTATAATACAGCCAAATCTAGATACTGTCCTTTAAGAAAGGTTGATACCATAAAAAGCCAAACTGCTCTGCATAATAATATAAAATTTATGTCTTTTATGTGACTTCAGGGGAGGTGGGATAATGGAATTGAGAGGGAACTGACAAGTGGAGGAGTCAGGAAGAAAGAAGTTTGTTTCTCCAGGATAAAGACCAGGCTTAGAGGCCGTCCCAAAGGGGTTGGGCCACTGCCTCTAAATATGGGCGGTAGGAGAGAAAACCAGAAGAATCCCCTAGGGCGGAAAGCTTGTCACCTCTAGGAACTGTGAAATCCTCAGCCCTGGCTATACAAGGTGTGAGCCACAGACCAGCAGCACCAGAATCACCTAGGAGACTAAGAAATGCAGACTCTCAGGCCTTGCCCTAAATCTACTGAACTAGAATCAGTAGGATTCAAGAGCACATTGGTGTTTGGGAAACACGGCTCTAACCATTGAAAGTTTCTTTTTTGCTTTATAATTTCCTGCTTTTCCAGTCGAATTTTTTCAGTAAATCTTACTTCTGGGTCCTCTATGTGTCACATGGAAATGAAGAGAAGGGTGTCAGTGTTTAGCGGAGTCTAGAGGGGCAGCTAAGAGGTAGCAAAAGGGACCATGGAACCCTGGGAGTGAGTAGGCAGGAGGCAGAGGCAACAACCACCAGGCTGGGCTTGTGGAACACACAAGGCCTCCTAGACTTGCTTGAAGATACTCAACTGGGAACTCATTAAAAACTGAATTCCTGCAGTTGCACAGGGAGGTTCAGAACGAATATGAAGGGCAAGAACCTAAAGGTAGGAAGAGTTGGGGTACATAGATAACAACTCTAATTCTAAAGCTGCCTGAAAAATTACCGTCATTGCTAAAGATGCTCAATTTTTACAGCTGAAGCACAGAGAAAATGCAGCATTATAACATTAAATACTTTTAATGTTGTTCCTATTTGTCATGTAGACATTTCAGTGACCTCTTCATTCTTTATCCCCGGGAAACCAATATTCCTTATTCACTCTGGCAAGGGAAGGGGTAAAAGTGATTTTAAAAGATTTATTACTTTTTTTTTAAAAAAACAAACATAAAACATTTGTTAGGCCTAATCTGCTAATTCTCCAGGGTTACTGTGTTTTGTGTTTTGTTCCTCCTTTCCCCAGCAGCATTTAAAAAACAGTCATTAAGCTAGGATTCCCATTATCTCTTTAGGTAGTTCTATTTGAATATAAATAATAGGGCTTTTTTTTTTTTTCCACCAAAAGAAATAACTTTTAAAAGAAGTTGGTCACAGTAACATTGAAAAGTGGCGTGGGAAGCCACTTTGATTTTACCAAATCCGAGAAAGGAAAATAACTTCAGAAAATATACTGTGAGCAGTTGCTTGGACAGATAAATGTTCCCAATATTTTGGGTAAATTAGTACTAGGGCTTTTTTCTTTTCTTTTCTTTCTTTTTTTTTTTTTTTTTTGAGAGGTTTTTGCTAAAGGGCATATATGTGCTCCCCAGAAAGACAGAGACAGAAAGAAAGAGAGAAATTACCCCCCCCAGGAAGAATTGCGACCACGCTACAATCCCTTCTCTTCTATTCTCCTCCATTCTCCTCTGGGATCTTGAGCACGCATGCACACATGTCGGCATGAGTTTAAGCCTCTGAGTCTGGGACTTGAACCAAGGTCTACTATGTGTGAGTCCGGTGATGTAACCATTACACCACCTGCTGGTACCTACCTACTACTAGTCTTTTGATATAACTGATTTTATTGTTCATTTTAGCTATAGTATTTAGTTACAACAGGGAAGCTTAGTTATTGTAAACGCTGGGATCTAGAAGCAGCCTATCTAGATGTAACTCCCGTAGCCCCAGTACTTAAGAGCTATGCGACCTTGCACCAGGTATTTAACCTCTATGTGCTTCATTTTCCTCATTTGAAGAATGGGTTTCATAATACTGGAAAAATACAATGGTATGGATTTAGTAAGCTTATATTGTAAAATATTGGGTCATTGGAAAAGTCACGATGCATTTTTGCATAGAAAAACTGAAAAATTACTTTTCCAAGACCCAATATTTAGTGCTTAATGTCAAGTATACTTGCTTAAATATCTGATCTATATTGTTTACCATGACAGGGTCAACCTGGGTACATGGAATAGGGGCTCATTTTGACAAATATTTTTAATTCTACTTTTGGATATCCTGCCTCTGCCTTCCAAGCCAAAACACTTACAGGTTCTCCTTTTTGTCCTTTAGGACCAACAGACCCTGGAAATCCGGGTAGTCCAGTTTCACCCTTTCAAGAAAAAGCAGAGGAGAGAGATCTTACATGAGGATGAGATAAATACCGTTGTCACTGTCAGATCTAGAGTGAATGCCTGCTCCCCTTCTAACTGTGGGATTACAATCTATCAGCCTCTGAAAGACACTGCAAAATTCTGAATAGAGCGAGGCTGTTGGTATAGCAATGTGAATGGTAGTTAGCACCCCGTAATGCCTTCAGGCCCATTGGAAAGCCGTACCTTTTCATTACGTTATTTAAAATTAATGTGAAGCATTTGTTGATTATTTTTCAAGCACAGGTCATCTAGAGAAGAAAAAGGTACATAATTTTGTTCTGATGTGTCAAAAAATAAATGAACCTTTGTGATCTCAAAGACATCAGATTGTTTAATGAACATGATGATCCAGACCAATTTTATTTCAGACACTTCTTTATTTCTTTTTAGAGAGGGAGGAGGTAGGTGGACAAGTGGGGAGTCAGGAGTCACAGGAAGGAAAAGGAGTCTCAACTGTTTCTGGCGGCGTTTATGTTGCTGCTTTCTGATTGGCTGTGGACAAAGAAGGCATTCTTGTGGATGTGGTGACAAGCAGCTTAGAAATGTCTAGGATGTTTTGGTCAAAAATCCAAGAGAGATGTATGTGCTATATAGAGAGTATTTTCCAAAAGCACATTGTGAGAGCGAATGCTTGGATACTTGTGAGAAGAAAGGACATATATCACTGATCAGACTTCAGAGAAGTCCTGGCACCGTGCCTCCCTTTAGCATACACTAAAATCCCTGAATAATCATGTAATTGTTCAATTAAACGCAGCACTAAAAGATGTGTAATGCAGATCCATTCCCCACCACCCAACCTCAAGAATATTTTTACAAAAGGATGTTCATCATTATGTTTTGGGGCATGTCTCTGTCTTGTCCATCTACTTTTTCCTTCTTTTTTTTTTTCACATGGAAAAAGAATACATACAGAAAACTTACAGTAGAATATGTCAAATCTTCATGTAAACAAATCTCCTATATTTCTCACTCTACTCCCATTCTCTCATGAATCCTTATTTTTGTACTTTCACTGCGTATGTGGAATCAAAACTCATATGTTATACTGAATAGCTTTCTCTTGTAAATAACATAGCATTCTGTGACTTCCCCCCCCCAAATATTCATCTATATTGATATCTGTAATCTAGATCATTTGCCGCAATGCTGGAGAGGTAAGGTACCGAGGTGTCACCTACTGCCACTGGCAGGCACTTGGGATGTCCCTCGCTTTTCTCTACTATAAACAAGGCTGGGGTGAACATCTTTACTCCTGTCTCCTTGGGGAAACGTGCCTGTCAGTTTATTTTGAAGTCTCGATTAACATTCTACCTAGTAGTATTTAAGTACAAATTTAGTATAGTCCTAAAATATTTTACTTTTTTCTACATTTCCATCTTAATTAATGTCTTGTGAGTTTGTGTAATGAATAGGCAAGGTCATATTTTTGTTAACCAGCCTTATCAATTTTTTGAGTGTATTTTAATGTATTAAGTAAACTTAATCTTGGTTTTTATTAAGTTTTAAAAGCTTCATTACCAATTTTTTTTATACTATCAAGTTTTTTAGTCAGTAAAATTGTAGTCTTGTTTGGGAGAGCCAAGGAACCAAATGGGTAAGAAGCCAATTTGTGTTCTTAGTGTGCATATTCCAGAGCAGTATTTCTCAAAGTTCAGTCACTTATAGATCAACTTCATAGTTTTTGCTATGTCTATATAAAGCCTAAAATTATTCACATTTTAAATTCATGAACTTCATATGTTCTTTGGAGTAATACACATGAAGCTTACATATATGAATTTATCTATGGATATATGTTTTTTTGTCCTAATACAGTGTAAATTACATACACATTCTTCCTTCTAGCATTTAAACATCTAGTGTACTAGTGTACCTCAGTACTCAGTACCTCAGTATACTTACCACACTACAGGAGGAGTAATTTTTTTCTCCCTTGAGATAGGAAATTATATACAAAGTATGAAGAGGGAAAAGTTGGTGAGTATGTTCAAGGCACCCATTTTTCTTGGTTTGAGAGAAAAAAAATAAGCAATTGGCCTATATATATACATTTAGGATATACAGAGCGACCTTCATATCACCATCTGATATGTACTAAGATCCCCACTGCATAGGAATGAAGGGAAATATGCCTACTAAGTAGACTTTCCTAATAAAATAAAAGTGAAATCCGGGAAGGGGGTCTAGACATTACTTTTAAAATCACAACTGCCCAGGGACTGTGCAGTTGTGCTGTGGTGAAATGTGACACTCTGGGAGGCTGACCCACTTGTACAGTTCTCAAGACTTCCCTGAGTACACCAGACACATGTATGCCTGTGGTCCAGGGCTGACTAGGGGTGGGGGTGGATGATGGTGTCAGGATCCTATTGGAGATGGTCTCTCTCTCTGTCTTTCTCTCTCTTGTCTATGGAAACAGTAAATAAATAAACTTTCAAAAATCCCACACCTAACCAATACCAAGGGGGAGAGTAAAAGAATGTATATGGAGGAATAAGTACATTCCTAACTGCTGTGTTCTTGAACCAATGTAAACAAACCTCCATTTAATACAGGGTCAGACCCAACAGAGGGTATTGTCCATCTCTTCCTGGGGATTTTGGCTGAAGTTTGGGCTTGGAGGAAGCCTTAGGAACTTCCCCCAATACAAAGTTCTGCAAACAAAAGTATTTCATACTTGAATCTTGGGCACATATGGGATGGTATTTCTATCTAAAATGAATGCTCAGTAATTTATCACTGTAAGTATGAGATAAAAGACTAGTGATGCATTTACTAAAAGGCTTTCAGTGTAACACTTTCCCTGCTATTTGAAAGGTTGGCTGCTCCACAGACTTTGGCTTTTCACCCTTATAGGCTATGGTAAAAATGACTTGCTGTTTTCTTAGGAGTCCTATGACATTCTGCCATTTTGTTACATTGTCTCTCAAAAGCAGCAGCTCTCCTCAAGCACCTTATAAGTACATTATTCTGTCACCACACCCTGTCAGTCTGTCAGTCCCAGGCATTCTACAGAACAGGGGTCATGATTTCAACACTGGTAGACTGGTCACATGGCTGCCATGGTGTCCGAGTCATGGGTTCCTAGGTGGTTCTCCCGTATCTTAGTGTTCTTGACACAGGATGTGGCTGTCAATTCAGGGTGACTTATATGTATATTACAGTGCTGTTTGTGCCTGTTATGGTGTTTCATTGTAATGTTGGGTTCTATATGATAGACTTTTGTTTGTTATTTTAGATTTTTTTTGCCATAGGGCATGTGTGCTTGCCAGAGAGAGACAGAGAGACAGTGAGGGAGAAAGTGAGAAATCCCCCTGTTAGAATGTCCACACCACAATCCCTCCTCCTCTTCTCCTCTCAGGAATTTTGGGCATGCATGCACATGTGCCTGGTACGATTTTCAAGCGACTGGGTGCAGGACACAAACTATGGTCATGTGGGAGTCCAGCACCTTAACCATCATGCTACTTGCTGGCCCCAATAGACTGTAAAATTCTGTTTGCTAGTTGATACATTGAGGAATGACAATTGAACAGCAATAATAAATCATTTATAGTAGTTTCCTTTATCTACTGTTTTGCTTTCTGCAGTTTCAGTTACCCATGGCAAAGTGTGGTCCAAAAATATTAAATGGAAGTTTCCAGAAATAAACAATTCATAGGGATGAAATTGCATGCCTTTCTGAGTGGCTAGATGGAATCTTGCCCCAGCATGTTCTGTTTCCCTGGGGAGGGAATCACTCTTGTATGTGGTACCTGCTTGTTAATCACTTAGTAGCCATCTTGTTTATTAGATGTAAAAAGCATAGTATATGTAGGGGTAAGTACTTTGGTGTTTAAAGCCTCCACTGGGAGTCTTGGGTATGTCTCCTGTGGATAAGGGGTCATGGGGCAGGGGGCAGGCTGCTGAATATGTTTAAATTATACTCTGGTTAAATCTTCTATTCCACAACACAAATTGAGTCCTTTCTCTATCAAAATTGTGGTGGAAGATGCAAAGATGAGCAAGACAAGGTGTTAAGGATGGCAACAGTGATTAACACCAAAAAGAACTAAATAAGACCTCAAGAGAGGAAAGAAAGTTTGAGGTGGTCGTGTAGAAAAGAACAAATTTTTAGTGAGGGTTTAATACATGAAAGGTATGCACTTTAGGATGAGTTTATCTTATTTGATTTAATACTCCCAACAACTCTTGGTGTAAAATAATTATGCCTACTGAATGAATAATAAATCTGATGCTCAAAGAAATGAAGTGGTTTTCTGAAGGTGACAGAGTGGTTCATGCCACAATCAACGTGTGTTCGTGTTCTTCAGTCTCCCAAGTAGTTGGGACTATAGGTGTGTGTCACTGTTCTGGGCTTTTTAGAGTGGGCTGGGAATCCAACCTGGACCTCCTATGTGGCCTCAGCCTGCTGGACAGCAACATGTAACACATATGACAGTGGTGGGCCCACAATCACCTTTCGATCCCAAGCCCATGCTCTTTCCATAACTCAGTGGTTCTTAACCTTGGCTGCATGTTAGTATGACTTCGCAATTTTCAATAATAGGGATATGGACGCCATCCCAAACCAGAGTCTCTGTGCCTGAAGCCTAAGCAGAGGGATATTTTCTGAAAGGTCTCCTAATAATTCCAACGTGTAGCCACATTGCGTGGGGTCCAGACCACTGGAGTCTACCGTGGGCTCAACCAAAGATCTGGGAGGGAAGCTTGAAGGAGCTTTAAATTTTCACTGAGGTGATTCATGAACATGTATGTCTATAAATATATGTGTGAGTGTGTGTGTATGTAAAATTTATAAATATGTGCATGTATATGTGTGTGTGTGTGTATGTAAAATTATAAATATGTGCATGTATATGTGTGTGTGTGTGTAAAATTTTGTTATAGGATGCATGCACTTGTCAGACAGAGAGAGAGATAAAGGGAAAGTGAGAAGTCACTCCCTGGGGGGATGGCCACTGTGCGATCCCTTCTCGTCCGTTCTCCTCTTGAGATTTGGGCACTCAGGCATACATGCCCACTGTATTTTTTAAGCCACCAGGTCTGGGACTCACACCATGTGGCATCCAGCTGCTTAACTACCATGCCACCAGCTGACCCAAACGTCATTAGAATTTTAAAAACTAATGAATTGATCCAGAATAGATAGTAACTAGATGTGTATAGATAGAGCTCGTTTTGCTCTTCCAACAGGTCTTCTAAAGTTTATTTTATGCACTATTACCGGCAGAGTCTTTCCACCGTAATTATAATGATAAAATAATTCTTCATTTATACATTTATATCAGGTAGTACACCAAGTTCCCTGTAGATTCTTGTAGGTTATTTATTTGTCTCAGAGGAGGGAACAGTTATGCCATTGACTCTTTCTAATTCCACTTAAGATTCGGAAGCAATTAGAAAAGATTTTGAGCAATAGAAAAGGTCCTTAGAGTTTGAAATACACCTGTTTTACAGAATCAAATTTCTCATCAGTGAGGTCTTAAGAATTCCTAAGTAACATATGTTTCCTAACGAACATAGCAAAACATAAGCCAGCTGTTTTGTTTCAAGAAATGAATCATTAAAATACTTTAAAAGCGTCACAATTCTCTCCACTCAGCTTTCTTGTGTGACAAGCTTTGTGGCTTTTTCTCCCCTTTTTTTCTCCCTTAGCTATATCATGTGCCCAGTAGTAACTGCTTAAAAAGCAAAGCATTTGTTATAGTTTCTCTAAGATATTAGGTTATAGAAAATAGTACTAATGTAGTAGCAGTAAAAATCTAAGACACATAAATGGCTTATTAATGCTATATAATTAATTTTTGAATATCTTTTTTTCAGAACGTCAAGGTTTTATTTATTTATTTTGCAGAAAATTTCATTTTCAATGGTCATTCTCTAAGAGACTCCTTAGTTTCTAAAAGACTATCTTTTAGGGACATTTTCCTGTGGCCGATACATGACTTTTTAATAGACTGGTTGCACTGATTTATAAGGCCCAGAAGTCATATTTTCCTGCATTTATGTTGAAATGCAAGACATGTTTGCATTTCAACCAAGAGAATTTTTACTGCATGAATGAAGGCAACCAGCCCTCAGAGGCCACATATTCCCTTAGAGAGTTTTCCAACCTACTCATCTCTGCAGATTTAATGTGCATTGTTATCGTTGCTGTTTTTCCTGATGATGGCACATTCCCACCGAATTCACGGTCAGCACAATGTCAGAACCAAACAGGAGTCAGACATCTTTCTGAGTGGGCAAGTCCATCTGTCATCTTCACAGCTAACGTAATTAGACCTGTGAATGATGACAGTGAGAGGGCCGTGGAAATTCATCAGTGTTTTAATTTTAAAACTATTTTAAATAACACTTCGGTTAAACCACTAACTGTATATTGTAAAACTCCATTAAAAAAATGCACCCACGAGATGGAGACATTTTGCCAAGGGGTTTTCTGATCGTTTATGCTGCCTACATGGATTCATGAAACTTATCACTATAAACTCAATTTTGTGTCCTAATTTTATTGACCTTAAACAGTTATTTCCCCTGGAGATGTCCCTTTCCTGTAGCCAAGTGACACGCAGCCATCCTCACTGAGGAGCCACCTCTGCAGCTGATTCTAATCCTGCTACCTGATTGAGAGGCAGATGGAGGCTCCTGCTCCATGCGTGCTGGCTGCTTCCGAAGGATGAGCCCCACTGCCATGGTGGGACCACCTTGACATGTGAATGCATGTATTGGATAAAACCCTGGATCTTTTGGGCTGGCTCTGTGGTCTGGTGGTTAAGGCAGTGGGATGGCCAACCACTCAGTTGGAGTCCTAGACCAGCAGTTTGAGACGCAGGCTAGGTATGCATTGTGAGTGAATATTCACAAAACTTCGAAAGGAGAGAGATGGAGAAGAGGGTATTGTAGAGTGGCCATTCCCCATGGGGAGTGCTTTCTCTCTCTTTTTCTTGCTCTGTCTCTTTATCTCTCTTTGGCAAGTGCACATGCCTCTACCAAAAACAAACGGCAACAACAAAACAATAAACAAAACAGAACAAAAACACTGGACCTCTTTACTCACTTTGAAAATCTGGTTACCTTTTCTCCTTTTGGGTCACCAGCTCCATGCTCATCATTTCCCTAGGTGAAAATAAAACAAATACAAATAGCAAAAGGAAAAAAAAAACATCTCATTTTCAAAACGCATTTTGTACTTGAAAAATTAAGTAGTCAGATGGTAGTACCGTTCTGGCTTTTTATGAATACATGTGACTTCTGCACATATTTTTGTCTCTCTTACCTTTTGTTAAGGATTCTTATTAAGGGACCAGCAGATGGCATAATGGTTACATGACTGGACTCCCATGTAGTCAACTGCAGTTCGAGTCATGGACCCTGTGGTTTAAAACTCACGCTGAGTGTGTGTGTGTATATGCCCAAGATCCCAGGAGGAGAATGGAATAGAAGGGATTGCAGTGTGGCCATCCTCCTTGGGGGATAATTTCTTGCTTTCTATCTCTGGCTCTTTGGCGAGTGCATGTGCGCTATAACAAAAATCTCTTTTGAAAAAAAAATAAAGAATTTCTGTTAAATATCCTTTTAAGTAACTCCAACGTTGGAGACTTCATCTCTCTGCTCTCTGACTTCCCCTGCTTCTGGAGACGCATCATACCACTGGGGGCATATGGTAGCAACTCCATTCACACTTGGCTACTTCAGTCGGCCCATCTAGGCAGCACAAATACTCTGGTCCCCTGCTCTCCTTACTCTCAAATGTTCTTCACTGTCCTTAGACCATGAATTTGGTATCTACTTTCCCTGGACAGATGATCTTGCCTGTTACCACACTGATAAAATACAAGTTCTTGGGCTCCACTTCTGATCCCGACATTAAATCTACACACCCAGGGCACACGCTCAGCAGTACGCAGTGAGCTGTCTTCTCTTAGCAGGGGCATTCCCTTTTGAATTTCTCTGAATCCCAAGTCCTCTGCCTTCTTGGGAAAGTTCCTTTATTAATGTTACCCATTGCTATTAGATGAAATTGGCCAATTTGGTGAAATTAAGAAAATGTAGCAAAAATTGGGGTCAATTTCTTCAACATTTTTTCCTCTCTCTCTGCCTACCCATCTATTCTCCCTTCTTCAAACCTAACACAGGCAAAACACATAGTTCCCTGAAACTTCTCTTTCCTCCATTTGTAGACAATTTTCTGAAAAGAGCAGCAATATTTTCTATGTCCATTGACCAAGACAGCCTCAGCTGAAATAAACTTTCTTCCTCTACTCCTTTGAGATGTAAATCTTTAAAAACAGGCCTTCATTAATTCTACAATTCCAAACCTAGAGCCCCTCCTTTGAAATGGAAGATTGCATCTTCCTCTGTGGGAGAGCAGGGTCCTGACTTTAGCTTTGCCCAATTTGAAAGTCTTCTTCCTGTTATAAAGGAAGAAAATGTCCTTTTCCTATGTATAAACCAATTAGTAGACACAGGTAGGTTGTGTGTTTCCCCTCATTCCAGTACTTTCCTTGTTTCAGTGAGGTTGAGCTCAGACTGAGCCTGGCCTTTCCATCCTATTGCAGTAGAATAGAACAGCATCCTCGTCTGCTTAACTTTTCCAGTTGCGACTTGCTTACTCCTGAGCACCCAGTGCTTTGGCTGTGGCCCCAACTACTTCTCTTATGTGGCTCTCTGATACCTTTGTTGCTTAGTCTAATGGACTCTTCATGACTTGATCTCCCAACTGCACTTGTCACTCTCTTGGTTTGTGATTTTTGTTTTTTTCTCTAGAGAGATGTTTTTGATAGAGGGCACCTGTGCTCACTGGAGAGACAGGGACAGAGATATAGCAAATGACAAATCACCTCCCAGGAGAGATGGCCATGCCTCAATCCCTTCTCCATTCTCTTCTCGGGATCTTGGGCACGCACGCACACACACCTGGTGTGAGATTTAAGTTGCCAGGTTCAGGCTTCCAATGCTGTCAATTACGGGGGAGTCCAGCGATGCAACCATTAAGCCATCTGCTGGTCCCTTGGCTTGTGTTTTCTCTTCTTCCTTTTTCACCTAACTGTTAAAGGTTCGTATGCAGTCCAGAGCCTTCTGTCTAGGCTGTCTTCTCTTGTGACTAAATACTTTCTCCTAGACATTTTTGTATACCCCAGTGGCTTAGGTATCATTAACACAAGACAAACTTATACACCCAGCATACTCTCTATGCATCTAATTTTCTACTTGATGTGTTTACTTGTAACTTCTAGAGGCAATTAATATTCAACAATTTAAAACCGAACTAAAAGAAGTACAACAAATACACACATGTATGAGAGTAAAAGATAAGAGAGTTACATTACTCTTTAACACTGGTTAGTCTGGAAGTGGGAAATGTTAATTAACTTCTTCCTAATGTATCTCTGTAGCTTGTCTTGTTAAAATTCCATTTTACAGTAGAAAAAAAAAATCAAGGAAAGTAAAAGAAACCTGACTCATCCTCTCTCCCACAAATTCTTTCTCCTGCAGTTTTGTATTTTTTTGTCTACATTTTGCACGAGGAAGTGTGCTCACCAGAGAGAGAGAGAGAAAGAGAGAAAGAGAAAGAGAGAGGGAAAGTGAGAGAGCACTCCCATAGGGAATGATCATATTGCAATCCCCTTTCCTCCATTTCTCCCTCCTTTGGGAACTTTGGGCGCCATGCATATACACACATGTTTATTCAAGCAACTGAGTCTGGGACTTGAACTACATGGTCATCCATGTGATATCTAGCACCTTGATCACTATGCCATCATTTGGCCATGGATGTCATTCTTAGCACCACCCTTCTCCTTATTCTTCATGTGCTATCAGATATTAAGTCTGGTTCTGTTACTTCTAATCTCTTCGTGTTTTATTCTTGGAAGGCTATCATCATGTCTTGGCAGAATTATTACAGTAGCTCCTTAACTTACTATCTATGGTCTTCTCTTGCTCTCAGACACATATATTCTCTACATAAGGTCAGAGAGCTATCTTTAAACACATTATGGACTCCTTCCTTTAAAACATTAACACAATTATCAAATTACTGAATGATCTAGACTTGTTCCTCTCTCAAGCATCACTGTGGCCATTCTATTCCCTCAGAAGTTCCAGCAATCATGGTCTTCTCTCAGTCCTGCAAACTAATCAAGATTCTTCCCATACCACTCTCCAACTCACTATTCTTTGTCTTCATCTCTTTGTGTGGCCAGCAATTAGCCTTCTCTAGATCTCAACTATTGGGTCATCAGGAAAGTCATGATGCATTTTTGCATAGAAAAACACAGGAAAACACATCATGACTTTCCCAATAACCTAATATTATAAAAAGTGTTCATGAAAGTCTACTCTGGATATCACTGACAGGTTCTCCTCCAGTTTTCTTCTCATTATACATTTTACTTTTCCTTCATCACACTAAGGTTTTTATTTTTGCCTTTGTTTAATAATTTATGCATCTCTTGCTGCACAATTTAAGCTTCATGGTGACCCAAAATTAAGTTGCTCTTGCTTAGCAATGCACCTAACATACAGGAAGCATTCAATAAATATTTGCTGAGTAAATAAGCTAATAATTCTAATGAAGGTGCTTTTTTTGGTTTGTTTTGTTTTGGAGAGGTTTTTGCTATAGGGTGCGTGCACTCGCCAGAAAGACAGAGAGAGACAGAGAGACAGAAAGCAAAAAATTACCCCCCAGGGGGGATGGCCACACTGCAATACCTTCTCCTCCATTCTCCTCTCAGGATCTTGGGCATGGATCTTGGGCATGGATCTTGGGCATGCACATACACGTGCCTGGCGTGAGTTTAAGCCACTGGGTCTGAGACTGGAACCGGGGTCGACTACATGGAAATTCGGTGACATAGCCATTACGCTAACTGCTGGTCCCTTAGGGTTTTTTTTTTTTTTTTCTTTTTTTGGAGAGGAAGGTGCTTTTTCTTTATTAAGTTGTTTTTCTGACTAAAACTATATGTATTTGGGGGCTAGGAGGTGGCACAGTAGTAATACAACTGTATCCACATAGGATACATCCTGGCTTTGCCTCCTGGGACCTCCCTGGGCACACCAGCTATATGCGCACATGCTGTAATCCAGACTGACTGAGACTAGGGGTGGTTTGCAGCATGAGAGCCTTGTTGGGACTGCCTCTCTGTCTCTATCTTTCGTAAGAGAAAATACATAAATATGCTTAAAAAATATATGTGTTGGTAAGAAAAACTATGAAGTAATGTTTAAACAACAAAAATATTGGCACCCATTCAGATCACTATTGCTGTAGTATATTTTAAATGTGACTTCCATGTTATTTATGATGTTCTGATTTAAAAATGATAGTTTATAATTGATATTACTGTTGGCCTTATGATGTATATTTTCTCATTTTTCTTATTTTGTTCTGAGATGTCTAAATTGAAAATAAAATTGTGGGATCAGCATAGTGGTTGGGATGCTAGACTCCCATGTGTCTGACTATGGTTTGAGAGCAGATCTGGTGGCTTGAAACTCATGCCAGGCATGTGTGTGTGCATGCTGAAAATCCCAAGAGGAGAATGGAGAAGAAGGGATTGTGGCACGGCCACTCCCTGGGGGGTGGGGGCAGGGAGGGAAGGGTAATTTCTTGCTTTCTGTCCCTCTTTCTCCCTCTGTTTCTCTATTGAGTGCATGTGCCCTATGGAAAAATCTCTTTAAAAAAAGAGAAAGAAAAGGAAATTGTACTCTCAATCCCGAGATATATTGGATCGTTGGAAAAATCATGACATATTTTTACATGTAAATGCATCATGACTTGTCCGACAGCCTAATACACTATTCATAGTAAAAGACATATTTGAAAACTTGGCATAAAAACTCTAAGGCACATACAAATATAATGGATCAGCAGCTACAAAATGGTAGGATGGTAGGCTGCTTGGATGCAACCTACACGTGAGTATATATATTTTAGAGATTTCCTGACAGCACTTGTCATTTGGGAGTAGTACACACAGATCAGTGCACAAAACATCAACATCTCTCCCTGGCTGTGTTTGTGGCTGGTCATTTTAAAGGAAGCTGGAACTTTGGTTCGTGATATGACTTTTTCCAGAGATAGTCTTTGGTTTGAGAGGCCCCATGCTCTTGG